TAGCAACACCTGAACGAAGCAATAATCAGTGTTCCGTGTTGAGAGCTTCTGACGGCAAACAAAAGCGTGTGTGTGAGTGTGTGTGTGTGTGTGTGTGCGTGCGTGCGTGCGTGCATGTCTGTATGTATGTAGGTATGTACAAGTACACACATAATATGTGTATATATCTATATTCTACATACATACACCTAACTAGTATGTACATAGGCATCTCTCTCTCTCTACATATATATATATGTATATACATGTATACATATATGTACACCTACACACACGCATATTCAGAAATTCCTATAACGATGAGCAACGTTTCCAGCACATGAGTGAATCAAGATACATCCTGAGGTATACCAAGGCATCGGTTGATTAAGGAGGTTCGCACTTGCAACGCGGCTTCGGTGAGGAGGACACCGTAAACTGTGAGAGATTGCACCCGGGCTCTATGTAGCTTAGACATGCTTAGACTAATACTAATGTCGACCGAAGCCTTGGGTACTCGACTGCTGCATCCCAATCCTTCACGTGATTTTTTGCTCGGCTGGCCTTCCCTGACATAGCAGGCGCGGCAGAAGCAGCTCCTGACATGTGGGAAGATCATGGTTGCGTCTCCTTCATCGGGGCTCAGAATGCATTTTGGGCAATACTTCTTTCTCGCTGCTTCTTCTCTCGTCACAAACATGGGTGCTGTATTCAATGAACCCCACCTGCGGCCTGCCTTAACGACGCTCTTCCCACACGTCCCCTCTTTGTGGCTACTGCATCGGTTTGCATCCGTTCCGAGCAGAGTCTGGGGTCGCAGTCCCTTCAAGACCTGACTACCGCAGAGACCGAATGAACGGCACCACGTGGGCATCTTCATAGTCGTTTCTGCTTGCTATCAGCCACCGGTTTTCAGGAAGCTTCCCCACGCAGCCTGGTATCCTCTCCAAGTTCTTGGCCTGGCAGTCCGAAAGCTGGTGGTGTATCAAAGGGTTCAGGGTTTCGGGATATGTTAGGTGACATCTTCGACAATCAACAAGCCCGAAGTCCGACTCCTGAACGGTGGCCCTGAGACCAAAGAACCACTTAGATTTCGGATTTCCCCGTCATACCTTCATCAGCTTGTCTCCACCGCTATCGAGCCGAATGTGATACCTGCACGGAGCAAGCACCCAACACCGCGTTCGCTCATGTCTCTTGGAGAGTTAGCAAGCCAGGCAAGGTTGTCACAACGTCAGAGAAAACTATAATCCAATGAGCCGCTATTCAAGGTCTGGCGAAAATCAGCGCCATGAGGATTCGCAAAAACGAGAAGATAATAATAGCTTACGACCGTTCAGGCATAAACCCGAAGTTCATGGGGCAAAGCTTCTTTATGCCGTCCGCTCACATCCATCTTGGTAGAACTGGCTCGTGCGAAACTTCCGGGTGCATGGTGCTGAACTTTGGCCCCTTCAGAGCAGGCTCCCTCCTCGTTCGGCCCTCAAGCCAGCATCCAGTTCAATCGCTGAAGCCTTGAGGAGTCTGCCTCGACTCGACCCCCAACCTCTTCAGCAACCTTCCTTGCTCTGCATGGACAGTCTGTGAAGAGAGCTTTTTGGAAGCCAGCTCACCGATCTGTGTGAATCTCTTCTGCAAGTTGCCCACCTTCCACTGCTGGCTTTAGTACTCAGACCGCGGTGTAGCTTTGAAGCGAAAGCGGCGCTCGTACTGGCACGGGTCGCTCCGGTCCACGGTGGCACGGCCAAATTTTACCCGGAAGGTCTTCAAGCGCTGGGCGGGACAGGCAGCTCAAGTGCTCCACCACCACCAGTTTTTGGTCTGAAGCCTGGGCAGGACAAGGGCAGGGGAATTCACCAAGCCGCAAAGCTCCTGGCCGAATCTTCTTTCCCTAACCCAAAACGTGGGTGCCTCCAGTCCTCTCGCTCCTCTGCCTCCCAGTTTTCTCCATTCTCGTCCCATGTGCCTCAGATGTTTAAGCTTCGGGGGTGTGTCTTACGTGACATCCACCACCATTCCCACCATCACCACATCACCACCATCGACACCAGCGCCAACTGCAGCAACAGCCTCATTCCCTTCTGCTGTAAACCTGAAGATTCTCCGAGCAGATTGACGGAAAATCAGAGTATACGGTAGGCATGCGTAACCGCACGCACCTGGTGCCCTCACCATCCGCCAAATCCTCTTAACTCGTAACGTAAGAATCCCTTGGCTGCAACGTCGCTGGAGTACCTATATTATAGCTCTCCATGAAACCATGTTTCATGCTCACTAACCTGATTCGTTCTACACTATATTGTCATCCGGCATGTCATACGGCAAACTCCACACAAAACAGTGCAGCGTTCAGGATATCAATGCTTATCTGGTCAGTTGCATGTTCGTGTGATACCTCTTCTCCCTATCCCTACCGCCTGAAGAGGGTTTAGGGTTTTAGGGTTGGGGTTTTGATTTAGGGCCTTAGACTATCCAAGTCTTGGCCAGAGGTTCCGTTCTGGGTCTCATAGCCCTCCTTCGGCCAACTCCAGTCCCATGAGTCCTCGCCCCAAATCTCCCGACCTTCCTCGGCTGGGAGCATCCGGAGAGGCTTTCCGACTTGTTTGTGGTTGCTTTCCACCAGTTACAAGGACGCCAAAACGGTTCTATGTAGTCTTCTTAGGCGAGCAGCCAAGGAAATCGGCTCCAAGGGAAGGTTGAAAGGCAGAGGGGTGTGGCGAAACAGCCCCCGCTTCGAGGACCTGGCGGAAAGAGACTCCTTCCCCCCAGAGAACCGTAATCCCGGAAACTCCCAGCACTTGAATTCCCGGATCCCTTCTAAAGGATACCCGAAAAAGGATCCCTACTTGAAAGAAACTTCCTACTTTTCTCAAGGGCACCTCGGCTCCACAAGAAGGACGCCCAGCTCCCGGTTCCCACTCCAGTGTAGGTCGGGTCGAGTCTCGGACCTGAAAGATGGGGACGCGATAGGTTTGGGGGCCTTGAGGCTTGAGGCGTGGTTTCAAACTTTCAAGCGGCTTCTTTGATCGTCTTTTTTGCTTTGCAGTTCTAAGGGTTTTCGCTACAATTTTGGCTTCGTGTTGGGGTCTTGACTCCCCTTACGGCGCACGGAATCAAGTGGGACAATAATGGTAGAAGCTTTGATCTGGGTTTAGCTTTCTCCCGTGCTCCGCATGAAAACGGAGGCGCTGCCCGAATTCCACAGCCTGAAGCCCTGAAATTGTTGAGCTTCAAAACACAAGTCTAACACGACTTTGTCTGTGGCAGGTTTGCCTGTGGATGGTACCCCACGCTGAGACGGTGAGATTGTGGGAGCCCACATAGATCCAGCCATACCTTGGATCAAGGTCCCCTGCCTCACGCATCTTCAGATGTGCCCGAAACCGCTGAACCCGGCTAAAACGGTCCTGAAACATGCACCGAGGTTCGGCTGCGATTCTGCTTCATCCCAGCAAAGTCGGGCGATAAGCTTTCCTGAGCGAAACGCTGAAGTTCGCCTCTCACCTTTGATCCAGGAACCCTGCCTCAAACCACTGATGCCCTCCCGAGTTCTCCGACCGAGTCGCCATGACTGCGAACTTTCTCCCGTCCCGGCGAGTGCCAGGGAGCCTCGTGCGCCACGAGGCGGGGCTCCCCCATAGAGGCCACTTCGAATCCTTCGCGTACTTGTTTATACAAGTACAGTCATGTATGTACATTCATATTAATATATATATATATATACATATACGGATCTATCTACACATCTACGAACCAACGTGTACAGCTCAGGATTGAGCACCTGGTGACTGGAGAACTCCCCCGAAAGCGACTCATAAGCCAGGTCGCGGAGCCCTCCTTCTGCCGGAACCAGGATGCGTGGTCCTGGCCGACATGACAAAACAAGTTCTAGTCGGTTCAGTTCGAAGATAAGCCTAAGAAACGACTTTTCAGGGATCAGTGTAAAGCACGAAGAATTCTACATCCGTACCCGTACACCCCTTCAACCACCCTCACTAACCACACCACCCCTACAGCCCTGCACCCTTACAACCTCACGAAGCACACCCCTCCACCCCAACACGCCACTGCTACGCACACCTGCTACAACCTTCACCCCTTCCCATCGCACTCACTACACCCCTGCCCCCAAAACCCCCAACCACCCGTCCCCCGAATTCGCCGCTGCACGCCACGACCCTACACAGCCGCAAATTGCAAGCCCTTCACTTCCTGCACTTCTGCATCCCTCATACTTAAAGTGGTGCATTTGGGTGTTACAAGCCGACCGAGCAGAGATCAGACCACTGTTCGACTCTGGCCTTTGTCGCGAAGATAAGGCTCAATTCGGCCATGTTACATGTGTCTGTGTGTGTGTGTGTTTGTGTTTATGCAAGCAAAGTAAGGGTCAGCAAAGTAAGAGCTTACATACATAGACGCGCCTATGCACACACAGGTAACTACTGAAATGTGTGTACACATACACATATGCACCTCAAGTAGAGTCTGTCTGTCTGTCTGGCTATCCGTCTGTCTCTCTGTCTGTCAATCTTACATTACCTTGCCTTAACTTACCTTATCTTATCCTATCTGATATCTTATCTTTCATTCTCTTCTCTTCTCTTCTCTTCTCATAAACAGCTTATCTATAGATCAGTCCATCCATTCATCTATCCATGGATCTATCTATCTGTTCGTCTATCCATCCATCGATCGGTCTACGGATAAACCTATCTATCCATCCATCCACCGTTAAATCGATCTATAAATGCACACACACACACACACGCATGCGATCGCTTTCTGACTCTTTCTCCGGTTCTCTCGCTCTCTCACTATCTCTCTCTGGAGGATTTCCGACCGGCCTGGCAAGTCCCCTTCACCAGCAGCCCGGCCCACACAATCATCAAAGGCCCGGAACCAGTCCTGAGTCCCAACATAGGTCCCAACACAGGCGAATGAATAACTGGAATTTGCTTTTGGGAGGTCTTATATATAGATGCTTATGCTCTAGAATAGTCTTACTCATTGCTCATGCCCCGGTATTGAACTCCTGAACCCTGAAACCTAAATCCTGGACCCTCTTGAAGCCCCATACCTAGAAAACACCCATAAGACAAAGATGCACAAAGGAATGTGGGCGAAACCTACCTACCGTTGAGGTCTTTAAGTCGCTTTCCGTGTATGCAGCCGTTTCTTCCGTGCAAAACATGCGTGATGAGATGGCAGCCCAGGCTCCCCATCCAGGCGGCTAAACGAAGAGCTCAGGGCCACGAAGCTTCGCTCTTCCGACTGGCGCCAGGGGAGGTGGGACAGACTGGCTCGAAGAGCCATGAGCCCGTAGTTGATCTCCTTCCGTCAGAGACAGGGCTGAAGGTTTGACAGGCAAGTTGAGGGCCGTTTCGGGCCAGGCTAGTCGAACTCGAACCCTCACAGACCAGTCAACTTGCCAGATGCAGCCGAGTCTCCAGGTGGGCCAAGAGTTCGGCGGCCGCGCTAGTCGCAGGGAGGTCGTTGCTGTCTATGACTGGCAAGAGGCCTCCGGGGCATTCCAAGATAACTTGCACCAGCGGCAGCTTGCAGGCAACCTCTTCGCTTGGTGAAGAGGGCTCAGGCTCGGGATATTCGAGGTCGGTGGCCAAGAGGTCCACCTTCAGGCCGTCCGATACATCGAACCCCAAAGTCTCAGCTGCGGTGAGTGCTTTGCAGGAGGCCGGGCTCAGAAATGCCAGTGGTAAGCCCGTCAGGCACAGCATCCAACACTCGTCGCGTTTCTGAAGCCTGGCCTCACCGGTGAATTCCCCACGGGCCGCCGACAACAGGCTCTCCGTTTCTTCTGATCTCATGATCTTCAGGCTTTCTTCCATGAGCGATAGCCTCAATCCAATCTGAGTGGGGCTCAGAGGGCGCGACTTCTCGTAGATTCCGGGGCGAGACATGACGAGATGGATATTGCACTCCAAGTCAAAATGTGAAAGCGTTGACAGCCACTGCATGCGCCGATGTCCGGGAGCATCATTTAGTAGCTCTGCCAAGCAGTGGGACAATGTCTGACCGAAAGTCCCGCTGTGAAGCAGGACCGAGACGTGCAAGCCCTCATGGTGCAGGCGTGGAAAGTCCTTTGCCCAAACCACCTCATTATTCATCTGCCAAAACCTGGGCAACAGATTGGCGCTGGATATGACAACCCGAAGCCGGTCCTCAAACTCCAGGAGCATCAACTTAGAATGCACGCTGCACTCGCTGTAACCTCCTCCCTCCACAGGCTCCAGGTTCGCTTCCGGTATCCGGACGTCGCTTTTCGAGTGTCGGGAGAGGTTGGCGGATCCTGGAAAATGCAGGACCACATCCTCGAAGACAGCCTGAAGCTCCCTCCAAAGGCGATCCCTAGTTGGCCACGGGTGGCCGCACAGCGTCACCGGCGTGTCTCTGCCCAGGCTGAGCTGCGTCTGTAGCCATACGATGTCGTCTGGCAAGTCGAAGGTGGTCATCAACACCGACACAGGGGACACTTCCCGGTCCCCCACACGGGCCAGATCCCGGATCCCAAGCGCTGCGGTGTTCAAGCCCTCGCCCAAGCCCAGCCGAGGCTCCGAGATGGGAAAAGTCAGAAAGGGCTCCTCTCCCTCGGAGCTCTTGGCCACGGCCTGCTCGAGCTCCAGCTGTTCCTCTTCTGTGAGGAGGGGGTCGTCCACCTCTGATGATTGCAAAGTCCCAACATGAAATGTGAAAGAACCTCTGCCCTCGAAGCTGAACTCCACAAGAGGGCGAGGCACTTCTACGGCGACCTCTTCGATTCTATTCAGCCAGAAGCCGTCGCCTTTGAGCCAATCTCCAGGGCGGCAATCAGTCCAGGCGCCTGGGTTCCATTGTCGAGCTCTCAAGGGAAAACACCCGAACCTGGCCCGACAAACTCGCGGAGACGTGTGGTCTGGGTCTAAGCATCCCGAAGCCAAGGCCAAAGCCCCGAAGACTGCAAGATTCCCTCCAAACTTGCCTAGACGCTCCATGACCTTGCCGGATCTTCCTGCGACAAGGGCTCAGCATCTACGCATTGGAGGGTGCAGGGGTGCGGCTAGCGAGTGCTCGACACATCCGTCATCCAGCGCTGCACAACATCCGCACGGAAGTTCCAATCGGAACGGTATGATACGGTATGGGACGATCATCTTCGATCTTTGCAGGTGTTGCACGCAACTGTAGCAAGCGCATGCCTGAGATGCAGCATTCCTGACACACCCAGCACCTGACTCGTGTAAATTCAGAACATTTCAGCAGCGTCCTGCGAAGCTGCAAAGTTGGCGATCACCAAGGCGGCACAGCCATCGAAGCGTTTGGGGATCCAGCCGTCGATCGGAACCTCGGCTGGGTAAAACTACGTAGTGGTTTCAGCATGACTCTGTCTAAGGACATGCAGCAGCAGGAAGCAGCAATTAATTCGTGCAGCATCTGGTGATTCTCCATCCCTGATGTGAAAGATGATGTAGTAGTCCGACTTCATTGCGTCATCAGCGTCGAAGAAAAATCTTGACAACTCCGGCTCACGAATCTCTTTGACAGCCACTGCCTCCGAGGATGGGCGATCGAGGATGTGGAGCGTCTTGAACTTCTCACGGAACTCTCGGCCTGCAACGTACCTCGGCTGTGTCGCAGCCTGTGCGCGAAATGCCACAGCAAGTGCTGCAAGCCAGCCGTGAACTGACACTTCTCTGTGTGTATGTACGTATGTATACACAAACACATACAGATACAGTCTTATATATATAGTGTTGAAGGTTTCAGGCTTGCTTATAAACGTACGTACGGTACATATATTGAGCTACAGACCTTTATCGAGTTGTTTTTGGACTGGTGTCTTCATTAGTTTTGTCGGTTCTCTTCCGTCCCCCTTTGTTTGGGGTCCGGGTTCGGGGCTGTTTAGTCTGGCCTGCGAATCTATATAGGTCTATCAGGGTTGAATCCTGGAACCAAGTTCTCTCGCAGACAGCTTGGGAAACGAGAAAGCCGGATTGTGTTTCTGTCTAGGGTTCAGGATATCGGGTTTAGGCTCGGAGAACTTTTCCAAGGAAGTCCAAGCTTCCAGTTCTGTGCATCTTTGGTTGTCCGGGCTTCCAGAAGATGACCCTCGGCTGATGCAAGGCCCAATGCTGTGTGGCCACTCCCGCTCAGCATCTCTTTGCCAGCACCGGCTTCACGCAGCAAGCGCGAAATCCCGCGATGGCGTTTGATGAGTGCAAGATGAAGGGCTGTATATCCCCGCCGATCACGTAGGTTTTTGTTGGCGCCATATTGGAGAAGCAATTGCGCGATAGGCGGATACCCCTTTTCACATGCGTAATGAAGGGCCGTTCGACCGTGATCGGTCTGCGCGTCCAGGTCGGAGCCTGCTTCGATCAGGAAGTGAACCGCCCGGTAGTGGCCCTCTTTTGAGGCACATGTCAGAGCCGTATGCCCACTGGAATCCTTTGCGTTCTTGTCTGCGCCAGCTTCCAACAAGAGTTGGACAATCCGAACTTTGCCTTCTCAGGGGAGCCATGGCTGAGCTCAAAAACAAACCCATTACCGTCTCTTTGGTTGGTGTTCTTAAAGCTCGAAAACGACCTCGGCAAGCTTGCAGTCATAGCTACCATACACTATGGTCCACCCCCGCAAGCCCGATGCCTACCTTTATAGTCCGCATTGTAGTTCCAATTTTGGATTATCTTATATAGGATCCCAAATACAAACCTTGCTAAAACAAAACACAAGGACTATAATGGAGACTATAGGTAGCTAGCAGAAGCAGTTCGTCTTTGGAGCTTCAACGCCTTGGGCAGATGCGAGAGCGAGGGCCTTCTGGAGGGCCTTCTGGCCGATGCCTTCTTCCAGATCTTTGCAGCCGCCGGCCAAGAGCAAATGCCGTGCCACCTCGACGCGGCCCTGGGTCGCAGCTAGCCGAAGCTCTTCCTCCGCCTCCTGAAGCAGCACAGCCAAGATTGAACAAACACAACAAAAGGGTTTAGGCTTTAGAGCATCTGGGAGGTAGTGCACACTTTACGTTGTCATCCCCCCCGCCCCCCCCCGGACCCGTCTCCTGATTGACCGTAAACCCCGAACCCCTGAACGCCCGAAACCCTAGCACGGGCTGGCGTCCTTCCAGTCAAAGGATGTGGAGCCGGTTGCCATGAGAACCAGTACAAGGTCCATGGGTGCATCCTGGGCTCTTTCCCTAGTTTAGGGCTGTGCGGGTTGGCTTTAGGCTTCGGGCTTTAGAGTTTAGAGTTCTGTAGGGTTTAGGGTTTCAGGGCTTTTGGAGCTTAGGCTGTGGCCTTTACGGTTAAAGGTCCAAGTAACTCTCTCGAGTTACGGAGCTGTACAGCAATGAAAGCGGTATATAGCAGATTGTACGGAGGGCTTTGTGTGACCAAAAACTGGCAGATTTGGTTGTGCTGATCCATAAACAGGGGTGGGGAATGTCCACTATATAGGATATGCGGAAACAAAGTATACCCTGACCATTCGGGACAGACGCGAGGGGAACCGGCAATGCGTATCCATGTATGACATCCAAAGCTCTTTTCCTCTGATTCTTCAAGCATATAAGTCATATAAGTATTACCTACCTTGGCGTCTACAGGATGTTAAGTAGCTTGAAGCTACCGCGGAAGGGGTAGAAAACCAACAGCGCACTTTCCTCTATATCGTAGCTTAAATTTAAGATACATGAAACAATGAGTTCTCCTCGGTCCTCGGTGTGGTAACTTAAAGCAAGATCAACAAGAGCCCAGCATCGAGCTTGAAAGCATCATCCAAGATGTCCAGATCATGGTGCACAATCCGTTGCATGCAGATAGGGAAACCATGAAGCGTTCGCAGATGCAGCTTTAAGGAGCCAACATCACTCAGCTCCTCTGTTAACGCTCGGTTTGGGATAAGAGAAAAGTATCGCGAGTCTACGCTATGAATGGCCTTCTACTTCCGTCGGAGGAGAAAAACAGCTCTAAGGCTCCTCTGGTGCCACAGCAACCAGCTCCTGCCCGTCGAGAAGCTGAACGCGCAACATGGCAAGTACGCCCCAAGGAGCCCTGCGTCTGGCCTAGCCAGACTTACATGCTGAGTCAGGACCCTTGGTGTGATTTCTTTGGAATTGGAACCGATTCGACAGTGCTGGGTGATTGCCTCGCCGCGTCTCAAACGAAAATAAGGTCCGTTCTTCAGCTTGATTGATGGCCCGAAGACCATGGGACGCAATCCTTTGAATCTATTTTCAAGCCACAGGCTGCGGGCCAGGCCCCCGAGAAAGAACAGCTAGGTGAATTAACCCTGCGCAAGGTTGGAGCATTGGTCGAACAGAAAGGTTCAAGGAGGCACGTGCAATACACTGCGATGCTCTCGGAACAAAAACCGAAGCAGTAACTGTCCAAGCCCTGAAGCCCTTGGTACCAACCAAATCTGCTGGCACGAACGTGCAGGCATCCAGTGGCGGTCTACTTCTATGCACATCTAAGAACAACAGCGATGGCGACGACACGGTGATGTCCACGATGAAGGCAATGAGCCCTTTCTTCATCACGTTTTTGGTTATAGGTTTGGCCTTTTCTTCAGACTGCCTTCCTGTGCCGAAAATCTAGCATCCTGCGGTCGTGTGACAGCACTTGTCTTAGTTTGCGCTTCACCGTATTCTAGGCATTTCCGGAGTGCAGCATGCGATGGAACCCAAACTTCCCCGAATCATGCAAGACACATCGAGGAGCATTGCGGCATGACTCCAAAAACGGGAAACATGAGGACACACGTTGAGTCTAAAAGGCTCCGCCTGAGACACCAGAACTGAAATCACAAGCAAGCTTCGCATGCTTCGCCTAACACAGATCGGGCTCGAATGGGGCGTGTGCGTCGTGTCATGACATGAACGCATGCTGCCTTGTACTTTGCCAAAGCGATGTAAGACTGAGTGTCATAACGGAGATGCTGTCGTTCAACTCTTTCTGACATGCGACTTCATCTTGCGGTTCTTTCAGCAGCCTCTCAAGGACTCTCCTTGATAACTGCACCAGATTCTCCAGTTGGTTTGTCACTGTCGGTGCACAGTCTCGGTGGGATCTTGCGATACGACCGAGTCTATGCTTCGCTTCCTTTTGTCGAACATCACACAGTAGAGGTTCAAGGCATTCAAATTCATGAATGCGTGTTGCAGACTCGGCAGAGCCTTGCAAGGAAATACCTCGATTCCAAGAAGACAGCCGCTCTCGGCCTTCCGGAGAGGCTCGCGCAGCTGCTGGAGTGCTGCAATTCATCTTTAACTGTGTCCACTTTCGTGATTCTCAGCCTGCAGTGATACTCTTCTGACCTTGTGTCTGCAATGTCGTGGACATCTCCGGGGGACAGCCTCTTGGCCGGATATCGGTATGAAGGAAGCTGACGCCGAATCCGAGTCCAAAGCCTGCGAGTTTCACATTGCCTCACCAGCCGGTGGGTCAAGGTTGAGAGTGGTCTGAGGAAATCTCAGAGGCGGATCGCCGCCCTGCAGCCTCCTCACCTCGGGCGAACCCTTTGTAAATGACACATCCAAGGGCGACTGCCTGCAATGCATAGGGCCGGTTTCCTTATTCGGTCCCGACCATGGCTCAAAACTGCCGACCGTGGAACGCTTGCAGCTGCCTCACCCCTGAAGTGACACCGGGCCTTGGCTGACAAAAGCAGGGGTGTCTGTGCTTGGCGTTCAGCTGACTCAGCTGAAATGGCGAGTGGTCCCTGCCCGGGCCGTGTCGCTGATCATGGCTTCAAGCTGAGAATGTCTTTGCAGCCAAAAGCCATCACCAAAGCTTGAAGTGGATTGACTGGACACACATTGAAGGGAAAAGCCGTCTTGAAAGGAAGCTGCGACTTCAGGCATGAAAGCACCCTGCAAGAGCTAACAGAAGAATCCGACACCTAGGCGGTAGATTCTGAGAGATTCTGTGCTACAAGACATGTCCCAGTCTCCTGACAAAGCAGCACACAAGATTTCAAGCTCCAACGCTCCGAGGTTCAGGTCGAAACCGGGACCTGAGCAGTCCGTGGAGAACCTTAAAGGAGCAAAGAGACAGACAGTCCACAAGCGGCAAGGAGTGTTGCACTCCTTGTGCTGTGGAAGTCACGGCCCTCGCCCCTACTAACAAGTTAAACACTAAGCTAGGTACTAAGGCACTAAGGAAACTAAGGGACCTAAAGCGTCCCTGCTTCTAATTGGCACCGGCCGTCAGGAGCAGCTGTGCGATCTCTGCATGACCGCCTTCAGCTGCAAGAGCCAGGGGCGTCTCGCCGCTCGCGTTGGGCCGGTCGCTGTCTGCCATCGCAGCTAGCAGTGATCGCACGACGGAAAGGTTCCCACATCGTGCTGCCATGCAGAGAGGAACGTCGCCAGAGCTGTTTGAGTGCTCCAAACACGCACCGGCGTCGAGGAGCAAGGCTAGAATCCCCAAATGGCCGTTTTGGCAAGCGACACACAAAGGCGTGTCACCGCTCATATGGAATGCAGGGTCGACATACGCATCAGCTTCCAGCAAGCAGCTTGCGATATCCTCGTGGCCACAGTAAGTGGCGATGTAGAGAGGCGTGCAGCCGCCTTGGTCTGGACGGTCCTTCCCAGCACCAGTCCTCAAAAGCAAGTCCACAACATCCGTGTGGCCACCGCGGCACGCGATGTGAAGCGCGGTTTCGCCGCGGTCGTTAGCCTGGTGGGGGTCCACGGCGGCCTGCAGAAGCAAAGAAACAATTCCGGCATGGCCTCCTTTGGATGCAACCAAGAGCGGCGTGTAGCTGTGCCTGATTCCACGGTCCTGGTCGGCACCGGCATCCAAAAGCAAACGTGCGACATCCACATGACCGCCTCCACATGCCAGGAAGAAGGGTGACGGCTCTCCCTCCTTTGCCGGCTCGACTTGGGCATCCGCTTCCAGCAGCAAGCGAGCCACTGTGAGGTGGCCGTACTGCGCAGCTGCGCAAAGGGCCGTGACACCATAGCCCGTCCGAGTTCGATCCGGGGCAGCTTCTGCCTCCAGGAGGAGGCGGACAATTTCGATTTGGTTCTCTTGTGCCGCGGTCCACAAGGGGCTAAAGCCGAAATCGTAGTCCGGGAGTTGGCGCAAGATCTGCTCAACCTCCAGAGGCTGCCCTCGTTCAACGGCCCTTTGCATCTGCTCTTTTTGGTCCCTGGATGCCTCGATAAAGCTTCTCAGCACAAGGGTCACATCCATGGGAGAGTCGAGCTTCTCATCGTCCTGCAGAATCCGGCTTCCGTGCAGTAGGAACTCCTTGCTTGGGTGCGATCGCCGGCGCAGCTTGCGCAGCTGCCTCTTCAGTGCCCTCGCAGAAAGCTCTTCGAGGTCGATGGCGACGGTGGCGAGCACTTCCCCACTGGGCCAAACGACACGAAGCATGGCGGAAGCCTCACGGGCGCTCCATTCTGCAAGGGGTCTCTGGACCTAGGCTGACAAACGGCTTCCAGGTGCCACGCAGAACTTTGAGCTGAACTCAGCCCGGGAGTTCAGGAAAAGACTGTGGAGCTCTCAGCACAAGGGTCCACATTCCCTTCCCCCTACGCCCCTCGAGGACAGCGCCTGGAGGAACTCCGCAGCATGTCGAAGGGGGAGACGCCCGCGACCCCACCCCCACCTGACCAGATTTACTACGCCCTGCCGGGCCTGCTTCCCTGGACCGTCACCACCACGCCGCTGCAGTGATTCAGCTCGGGTCGGGTTTCCAGGCCCACGAGCCTGGCAAAATATCCGCAGGGCTTTGTCGGTAGAGGCCTTGTCATTCAGTTCTACAGCGTTGAAGAGTGTTGGGGCACTGGAGGTATGGGTGTAGAGCTTCTCGAGCCTCTGATTTGAGGAAGGCTCCTGCTACAAATGCTGTCCAGAATGAAAGCCACCTGCCTTTTCTTGTCATAGTTGCGCCTTCCCAAGAGTCCAGTCTTGTTCTGAATTGCGGGCCACCTGGGCTCTTGTGCCAGCCTCTTTCCGGTCGTTGCACCGGATATACATACTGTCATCCCGACACCGACCCCCAAGTCCCTACACCCGAATCCCTTACTCCCTTACTCACCCGCCCCCAAAATCGTAATCTCCAAATCCCTGAACCCAAGTCCCCCAAACCCCAATCTCAAAGCCCCTAGTCCCGCAACCCAAAACCCTAATCCCAATCGCCAGGAAGGTCTGAGGCCCCCGCCTCACCCGAGATCCGACTTCGAAGCCCCTGGAGATGGACCGAAGGCTCCGAGAGCACCACAGAAGAAATGAAGGGCCAATGATTCTCAAATGATTACAGAACGAGCATCGTGAGTGTTGATGATTACGATTACAGTACTAACGATGCTATATTATGCTATGATTCTTATTATTGTTATTGTACTTGTGCACATTCCATTTTGTCGGTGTTCTTATTATCATTCAGATTATCTTAACGATGAGGGCCTGGGACGTCCGGAAGTGTGAGAATAATGGCGAGCAAATAAATGAGGGATACCCCACGTTGCGAGATGAAACTTGTATTGACGCTGACGCACTGCATTTCGTCAAAGAGTCCCGCAGGGGCTTCGCGGGCTCCTGAGAATATGACTTGACCTGCAGGTTCTGTAGACTGTAAACACTTTGCGGTCTCGAGAACCATATAGGAAGCCCACACCTCCTCCCTCGACGTCCGATTTCACTGAAGCCCGCGAGTTTCCAGCCTCGCGTCCGTACGCTGAGGGGTGGCTGTGCCGGTTGGCCTCCCAAACCGCTCACATGGCACATCTCATCTCGTCATGTCTGCATATGTGTCCGTACAGGCACCCATGCACATGTACGCACACTCTTGCATGCCTCAAGTTCAGCAAGTGGACTTGGCCATGACTTGCATGCGAAGCTGTATGTCCATGCAAGTTCTTCAACCAAACCAAGCAACATGAAATGCCACAGCCGTCCACTCTCGCAGGGCCAATGGAGCACCTCGAAGAGCTTGCGGGCGTCGGAGCCGAAGTAGCCGACCTCACGTTGTTCGGGTCTTGGGAGAACGAAGGCCGTAGGATTTAGGGCTTCTTCGTGGGTCTCAAGTTCAGCCTGGATGACTGACTGGCCACCCAAGCGACTCTGCATCTGCCTCCTTCCTTGTCTCTCTCTCTCTCTCTCTCTCTCTCTCTCTCTCTCTGGGTGAAGATTGCGCCCGCCTGCCGTCGGCTTCGAGCGTGACGTTCTGAGGCTTCAGGGCCTGTCAGAAATCAGTCCACTCTCTTGAGACAGGGTGGGGCAGGGTGAATGGATGGACGTTGATTGAAGCTGTGGTACGGTATCCTTCTCAGGCTGAGGCTTCGAGACCTATGACTTTGATGTCTGAAGCCCTCGCATCGTGATATCAGGTGTAAAGTGCTGGACTGCCGAACTTGACAGAGGGCACTTCATCTTGTACAGCCTTGCGTTCGCGACTCCGCCCTTATGTCGCGCGCGTGAGGCATTTTGCTAGGGTGACCTCAGCATTACTTGCGTCACGCGTGTGTTGTGTACTGATCTGCGAAAGCCCTAGGCTACATGGGCAAAACTCTTCTTCTTAAGGAAACGGGTAAGATGCCCTTCGACATCGAGACTCACCCCGAAAAAGACGGAACCTGAACTTCCAAAGTCCCTTCAGGCTGTCTTCGGTGCTCAAGCCTTGATGCTGCCAGCTTCTGCGCCGGAGTTCAGCTCCACGAGGTAACGCCCATCCTCCTGAAAATGGCGGCAGAGCCTCTGTTGGGGGTTTTGGGGTTCAAGCCCACAATTAGAGCGGCAGACTTGGGCCCCGTTCCTTGGCGACAAGCGTGCCGGTGCTGCCGTTCCTGAGGCTGAGGCTTGGGATGCCATGCCTTCACAGAGTTTCAAGGCATCCGAGAGCCCTGCAAATGCTTGGCACCGGTGAGGCCGTCGACGCGCACTTTGCTCCCCTCCACCAGCGGCCGGCCCTCGGCACGTGCCGGTGATGGCACGGATGGCGCAGCCGCCGCAGGAGCCTTCAAAGGTGGCATCTCGTCTTCATCCTGGTCGGCACCTGTGCAACGTGAAGTTACACCTACTTGCTACTGAGTTTTGGAGGTTACTGTGAAGAAAGAGCCCGATTCAGCAACATTCTCACTCTAATAAACAGTTGCTGCATGATCCTCAGGATTCGAAGAACAGCAACAGGCATTCGAGCCTGCTTTCCGACCATGCGCCCACTTGAAGCCGCCCTGGAACTCATTCACAGACCTGTGCAGTAAATGCACTAAGCCGAGCACGGCACCATGTGTCTGCTATCAGAGTAGCATGATGAGACCGAACAGCGTCTATTGCTTCACTGTCTTCGTCGCTTTTGTCACCGTTGTTGAGCTTCTGCATCCCAACCATCTAGTGCTCTTGTTGCTCCTGCCGCTACAGCTGATACATCTAGCAGTCACCAATACATCCATCATCTTTAGCAGATGGTCATGGTTATTCGAACTACCATTGTATTGTACTATCACTGTCGTCACCAGCACCATCACCACCACCACTCTAAAACCCTGTGTTACAAATCCAGCAGAAAGCACCACTGCAATCTCAAATCCCAAGTATTCTCATCTAAGTCTCTAAGTCTCCATCACGACTACCACACTGCAGCCTGCAACAAGTACTCATCTGCGACCTACCGGTGGCCCGACACAAAACCCGAACGTTTTGCGACGCCTCCAAAACATCCGGTTTGGGAGTAAAAGTTGTCTGCTGGTTGCTAGTTACTGCAACCAGTTGGTTGTGTGGCTGTTCAACTCGTCATGCTTACCTCTTGTTTCGGGTGGTGCTGCTGCATTTCTGTCCTTGCTTTCGGGGAGGTGTTGAACCTAAATCCACAAGTGGCACTTTGAATTCGCAAGACACACATATGTTCAACAGAAACAGTGAAGTAACTAACTACCCCAACGCCTGAGCCAAATTGAAGCCTCCCACACCGAATGTCCCTTTTGCGCCTTGGCTTCTGGTAGTGCACCCGGGGACCCGGGTTTGCCGAGAAGCCGCTAACTCCTTCGCACAGTGACTGCTAGGCAGCAACTCGGCTATGCTAACTGATGCTGCGTCATGTTGTTTGTCGCTGCTGCCTGTGCTGCTGTGTTGTTGCTTGTGTTATCATCATCGTCGTCGTCGCAACACTGCGGCAGCTGAGACGCTCCCGACAAGGTGGCCAGTGCTGCTGATGACGTTGCTGGTGTTCCTTACGTGCGTTACTGGCGCTGCTGTGTTGGCTGAAACGGTTGAAGCGGGCGTGATGATGGTGGCGACCCTGGCTAGCATCGTTCTCATGACGTTGTTGGTGATGGCGACAAGGCAATGATGGCGACCATGATGTGACCCTCCTCTTTTTCTCCACCTCCGCACAACCATACAAACTTCAATACTGCAATAGTCATCAAATCAAGCGCAACTGGGCCAGCGTCACAATCAACATCACAAGCAGCAAAGAGGCGCGGCAGCATCATCAACAGCATTGACAACAACAGCAGCTAAACACGTAAAAGGTCGACATGCTTACCAAACCACGCAACAACAGGCACACCAAGCACTCGTGTTGTTTGAGCCAAAAAAGTGGTAGCATGCGTACAAGCTGATTGTTCATACGTCTACACTGACAGCTACGACATCAATGGAACCAACAAAAGACAGCAAGATCGACGACGGCAACTACGACAAGACAACATCAACACCAACAGGAAGGGTAACCAAAGTGAAGCTTGGTCTGACTGCAATGTGCGATTCCTGGCTTTCGTTTGCCTTGCGGGGCTTCTTCCTCGAAGGCTTGATGTTCTTCTGTCTCCCCGCTCCCTCACTCTCTACTGCTATTCTCTGGAGCAGACTCATGGATTCCCCCTGTGGACAGCCGGAAGCTCCCAAGCCCGCTCAGGCTGTGGCCACTCATCGCTCCATGGGCAGAAGCGGTCAATCTAGCGATCTGCTTGGCCAGGCATAACGGGCATACTAGCTGCTACTAGCTATCACGCTATCAGTAACGGGTCGAGGGGAGGTTACCATCGTAAAGCTCTTCTGCAACCAAACATTACCTATGCTTGTGCCAACACTGCAGACGAACCAGAAGTCAATAATCGGAGATGAAGGGTTGCTGACGATCCGTGGAAGCATGCGTGTGCTCTTAACGGGTTCTGCTGAACGTCGGCGTGTGCTGCTTTGGCAATCTCTGGGATGCGCAAAGCGCTGCTGTTGGGCCGCGGGAGGGCGACGCGTGTGAAGCACTCTCCTGTGCCACTAGCAGGGGGAAAGTCGCTGCTTGGAGCAACCGTGAGCCCGAGGGCAAAGACAGAAGATGTTGAATCTCAGAGCGACCAGGTCACGCTCCCCCAACACAGCATGTCATATCTTCCACGGCCGTCCGTCTTTTGTCATCGCTTCGTACTCCAGCGTCAACACCAGAGGTCTTAAGCTCGAGGCCTTGAGTTGGCCAGCTTCAACGGCGAAAGGCTGCTGAAAGAGGGCATCTTTCCAAATCATGCCGGTTGGCGCTGGAGGCGGGGCTACAGGATATACAACAGTCTGGTCCCGGTGCATGCTATGTAAGTTGTTAGTGAAGATCCAGACTGCTGACGCTTCCCCAGATAACCGCTGAAAGACAAAGATGTGCTCGTCGCCATAGTGTACTTTCGCACTCGCCGTCTCTAGGCGATTGCGTCGACGGATGGCGTTCATCTTGGAGAGCAGCTGATATTGCCACGCAGAGCGATTCCAGCCGAACTGCCACAGGGAATTTCGGTACTCTGTGTTCCCTTGCTCGTCGCCCCAGGTCACTGCCGGCATACCCTTGGTGAACATGAGCCATGCCCATGCATTCAGGACCAAGGATTCATGAGCTTTACAACCTCCAGTCCCCGGGGAGAAGGGCCCTGCCGACTCTCGGTACATGCCGAAGATAGGGCCATCGTCTTGGCTACTCACCATGTTCATCAACAAGTCCGTGTTGCTGTAGGCATGGGACTTCCATTGCCTTTCGCTTTCAACAGCAAGGTGTGTGAGATTGAAGCCACTGGTAGGAGACAGGGCATGGTTCGGCCAGCCGCAATAGCCAGGTGCTGCAGCATAAGATAAGGGGAAGTTCTGCAGACCGCTCAGAATCCGTTGGCCATCATTCTGCTGGAAGGATGCGTGAAAGCTCATATTCCCTGTCGTGACTTCACCGATCACCTGGATCGGCTTCTCAAGCATGCTCAGATGGTCCTGCAAAATTGTGACAACGATGATGACACTGCTGCTGATTACGCGGGCATGATGTAGATCAGGTTTCTGTAAGAACAGCTTCGACGGTTACTCATCTTGTCGATATCGGCGTCTGTACTGGCTCTGACAACTTTTATGACTTCGGCTCGGACAGAACTAGTTGCCATGCGGTCAAGTTACTTGACGACAGGTTTTTGCGCAGTGACACCCTGTTGCGACGAGAACTATGGTGATTGCAGTGAGTGCCGCTATGCCATATCAAGACTTTTGTTGTTACTCATACAGCTGTTGTTGTCATTACCATTATTATGCTGCTGCTGGTGCGGAAGGATAAGATACAACAAGACTCCATATTGTCTTCACCCCTCGCTGTCATCCTCATCTTGCTCAGCGTTCATGTCCGCCTCAGGATGACCGTCACTGCCCATCGCACGCATGATGTCACCGTCACTCCCAGTCTTGCTCTTCTTCTTCATAGCAACATCATGGTCGCAATAGCCATCAGCATCAGCATTAGCATCATCAACCTCACAATCATCATCACCATCACCATCATCATCATGATCAAGCTCATCCTTTTTCCTCCCTCACACTCCTGCTCCTTCGGACAGTGACGATCCTCAATCGCGGTCCGATCCTCATTCTCGTCACCTTACATATCCTTCTCGCATTTATCGCCGTCACCACGATTATCCTCATTGTCCCTCCTCGCGATCGCCACCATCTTTCCTAGAATGCCGGGCGGGCCATGGAGGGGCCAGATTTCAGGTGCCAGGCTCTGTCCTGCACCTCCTGTAGAAAATCGTGGGCCATGAAGGAGGCCGTGTCCAAGCGCAGGCCGTCCACTTGGAACTCAGTCACCTTTGGCAGGGCATGCTGCCTGCTGCTGACCTCATTCCTTGCATCCTTGCACCTGTCTGCTAGCCCTCAGGAGCAAAAAGGACGACCCTGCAAAACAGCCTAGACATCCTTATTTCCATGCCGGCGGCCATGTAATGTACCCAATGTAGCAGGCTTCGCCGTACGAAGGGCACAGACTGGTTCAAGTCCGCGAGGTCGTAAAACCAGCCTTCCTGATTCACGGTCTCATTGTAGCCTGAATCGTTATGGTTTGAGGCTGGAGCACGATCCAAGGGTGACAAACAAGCGGTTCCTTATGGGAACTGGAGCCTAATAAGCATAATCAACTTGTTCACTTGCACTTAGTTTGTCTCGTGTGTAGCTTCACCCCGCGCCCGCAAGACATGTAGGTAGAGGCTTGCTCATTTCGGCTCCTTCCCGTCACGAGGCCTGGGCAGATGTAGTCGCCGGGGCCGCAGTACTTTAAGGCTGCCGGCCCGGCGGCCAGGGGGCCATAGTAGGTCTGAGGGTTGTAGACATTGCTCGGGTAGTTGTTGCAGAAGGTGCCGTTGTTGGTACCGTCGGGAGTCCCGTTGCTGAAGAAGTGGAGATAGCAAGCAGCTCCTGGGCCGAGGGCTTGCGTTGGGTAGGGCCACCTCTCAGCTTTTCCCGTGTATTCGTCGAAGCTCATGTTGCTGATGTTCAGAAGGTGAAGGTGGTGAGTTTCATTGAAGGGCTTCACGTGTCGGAGGTCCTCCAAGGAGTGGATAGGCCGGATATGGTTCAGAACAATATCAAGAATGAAGCACATACCGTGCCGGTGGGTCTCTTGGATCAGTTTCTTCAGATCTTCCTTCGTGCCGAAGTTTGCATCTATTTGATACAAGTCCTCAGCCCAGTATCCGTGGTAGCCGTAGCCACTCTCTTCAGAGGCCGGGCCATAGAAGTTCTTGACCACCGGGGTGACCCAGATGCAGTCGAAGCCCATACCGCTGATGTAATCTAGCTGGCTTGTGATGCCCTGCAACGTGCCGTTGCACCAGCCTCTGCCGTTGCAGGCAGGTTGTCCCTGGACTTTCGGTAAGGCGAAACGGTCGGTCATGACCAAGTACACCGACTTCCCTGCCAGGTCCGAGAGCCTGGAAGGCCCGAACGGCCGAACACCGGTGGATCCCGACACAATGTGGGCTGCGTGCTGGAGGAGGTGCAGATCCTCGAAACACTGTGCCTGAAGACCGCAAAGGAGGGCCAGCGCAGCGACACGTACCGGGATTCTCGTCATTGGAACGGCTCTATGGGAATGCAATCAGGCAGAGCTGAGAGCTCACAATGCTGTATGTAGCTAATTTAGTAGTATTGCATTGTGGAGAGGGTTGCAGCAGCAATGCTGCTACGTCTTTCAAGACATCATGGCAAAGGCGGCAAACTCACACACCGAACTTCTCATGTGCTGCAGAGAGATGCAGGGCCACCCGCTGCCCCGGGGTGTTCGAAACTCCAAGTTCCTCATGTTCCCAGCTTGTGTGGCATAAAGCAGACTACAAGGCTTTAAGGGGGGAGGAAGCCGGTTGCTGACTGAAAACGAACCGGAGTAAGCTAGGCTATGACTGTAGCAGGAGCCTCGCATAGGCGGGTCTACGCAGCTAATTCGGGGACTTCGTGTTCTATCGAAAACGGACAAGCCGTGGGCCAATCGCCTGGCCAAGTACGGCAGATAAGGTCGGCACAGACCAGTATGTATTCTTACATCCCGCACTTGTATTCTGACACCAACCACGCCTCTGACTGAAGGACTGTCAGAAACGTTGTAGCTTTGCATCCTTTTTCCCGCATTTCTGAGCGTTCACGGCTTCCATCGCTTCGGAATGAAATCAATCCCCCTTTGGCCAGCTGCCTGGGGGGTGGCCCCTTGTTAGAGGGAGAGTAAGCAAAACAAGCAATCAGCGTGTTGCATGTCGTTGTTCATTTAGTATTGAACTTGACTGCACTTACCGTACGCTCCCTAGCTGTTGCTGCTTGCGTCCGGCACTGCTGTTGCAACTGCTTGCTGGTGTGTTGCCGTGAAAAGTGTTGCTCTGACTACGGCAGGTAGTGCTTCCGTAGTCTTGTTGCATGGCCATCACCGCTGCGCTCATTTATTCTTCCGATGAAAGAGTGGTACTTCTCCAGACCGGACAAGTCAACCACTCTTCCAACAAATATGAGCTCGAACAATGAAGCAGAAGCCCTGATCCGGCAGTTGCCACGGTAGTCTCTCATGGTCCCGAAGATACCCTAGTAGCCCCCCAATATTAGCCCTTGAAGGACCAAGGCCTCACTCGAAGCTTGCCCCCCGTCGCGCCCGAGGCGAGGTGGCTGCAGTAGGCCTGGTGCATATCTTTCATCGACACGTCCTGACACCAAGGCGGGAGCCCGGAGTCGCAACCAGGCAGCAAAAAGGGTAACTCTAAACCTTAAGCCTTAAACCCCTTGATGTTGCGACAGGGTGCACGGGCTCAAGAACCAGGGACGCAAGCTCTGTCGGATTCAGGTTTGGAGATTACAGGAACCTGATCTTCTCAGTAGCGCGAAGGCCCTCTGGCCCTCAAAGATCCCTGAGCTCCGACGGCACTTCCCCAACCACCAAATTCCAAGTTCGCCGTAAGCTATCGTAAGCTTGTCATGCCTGTCCGAAAACATCTTCTTCGCTTAACTCGATGTCTTGTCTCCTTGAAGCCCTGGGATCCGAAGATGTCAAAGTTCTTCGCAACGATCGCGGCTTGCTTGCGGGCACGCAAGAGGCCACGGACCATACCATCCTGAAGGCAGGACGGAAATGGGCCGGTAGCACTCACGGTATCCTTGACGAACACTGTCGACTTTGCCGCTTCAAGGTTCCGGGCTTCGGATCAACCTGGCCAGGCCTTGAAGATCCAGCTGCTGACGAGGAAGCCCTCGAGCTTCTTGCCAAAGTAGATGAGTTGAATCGGGTTGATGGAAGACAGGTCTTTGCCTGAGAGCCGTCCGTAGACCCAGGCGGTGCCGCCGGGGGGTAGCAGCCTCATGATGCTCGCCGTTTGCAATAGCTACTATATATGCCCTCTAAGGGCGACTGCAATGATGAAGAAGAAAACAGCAACAAATATGATATCGAACATTACACATGATCATGGCCCATGACCATTTTGACAGCATGATGGTGGCTGATGGCCACTTGACAAAACCGATCAGAGAAATGCAAACTGTTCGGGTAGACTAGCTGACTAGCTGGTGGAGGAAGTGACCTGAACACCCAGGCTACCCACCACACCTTCTCCCAGTCTGACATGCCCCGCTCCCCGCGTCACTGGCACAGACCCAATCAATTTGAGCCAGGATCGCTTTTCTCACGAACCCAACCAAATAGTTGCACCTCCCCTAAACGAGCCGAGCCTATCAAGGAGGCTTTGAAACGACAACAGTACGGGGACCGGCAAACTTAGAGGTCTAGAAGGAGTGCTGGATAACAAGCCCTTGGACAGCATGATTATCATTGATGCTGACTAGTTACTAGTTATCCATCAAATCACCACCATCATTGCAGTTTAAAGTTTGGATCATCATTTCGTTGTGCTCCCCCTCATCTGAGGCGGCCTTAGACTGGGAGCCAGCACTGGCCGTGGAAGCTTAAACAAAAAAACAGCAACCGTGGGATTTCGTCAGCTTTACTCTGCGCTGTAAGCGGCGGCATCTCAGCACGTCTCGCTTGGCAGATTCCGGCGATCCGCGGATGGATTGTAAAACCGCTCACTTACTTTCAACCTGTGTTCTGGCCAGATGCACTGACCAACACATCGTTACACCCGCAGACCACCGAAAACCCGAACCCTCCCAAAACCATCCAAAAATCCCGAATCCCGCAAATCCCAGCCAAGAAGCTCGATCAGCTCCGCGGTGAAATCACCAGCGATGCAGTCCACCACCTGCGAGATCTGAAGCTCCATCATCATCTTCCTTTGGTCGTGCTTCGTGTGACACTGGAAGGTTTTTTTTTTAGCGTCGGGTTCGGAGCAATGGAGCTGCAGCTGCCTGCTTCTAGCCTAGCTAAAGCACCATTTTACTTGAGACCGCTCGAGTACTGGGGACAGCACAAACACCACAACGACAACGGCTTCAGATGAGCTTCCCAAGCATTGACTTCCATTCTGGATCGCTGGTATTCACGATGTACTTCGCCCCGAGTTTCTGAAGCAGCTCAACCTGCTCCTTCCGCCTCACCAAATTCACCAAGGCAATACCTGGAGCCAGGAGGTTTAATAGGGGTTCATTTCTGTGTTCGAAGGATCATGTTTGAGGATGCCCATGCCAAAAAACTGATGTGTTCTAGCGCAGCGAGGCTGCCCTCCTTCTGGCAGTACTTCACCATCATCTGGCCCAGCTGCGATGCTGCAGCTGTGTGGATGAAGGCCTTACCCTTCTTAGATCTTACAGCCTCGACGATGGAGATCACGGTGAAGGGATTCACAAAATAGGCGCATGCATCCTGCACCCATCTTTTTCGGAAGACGAGGACCCCTCAAATCCTGCAATGTTATCGCAACTCCAACTGTTTCATCTCTATATTCAATCTCCTGTGCTATATAATGCACCGATATACAGGCATACATACACACGTGCACATGTAGATATGCATGCAGATACGTGCCCGCGGTGTGAAATTGCATGTCAGGGCGTTGGATGAACACAGTGCGCCCACTTAATGCCTTACAATGACCTGAAGCTCGTGGATATCCCTTAACTACAGCAGCCCGGATCACAAATTAAAGTCTAAACCCTAAACCGTCCTCCACCTTAATGCTGCTGGGAAGGCCCCAAGGCCCCATGCCAAAAGCATCCACCACTGCATACTGTGCATAGGACTTTCCTGTGAAGGCGACCTGTGGGCGACAGAAGATGTCAGGGAAGGCAAAGCAAGGGGTGCCAGACTCGGTCAGTCACTTAGTCTTCGGGGTCCCTTTCCCTCCTGCTGGGTACCTTGAAATCAACACCATTTCAGAACAATGCCCATGGAGCACAATTTACTCTGCACGGCCGCATGACTCCACAACACGTAGCTATTCAAGCGCCAGCCCCAACATCCCAAGCCAACACTGCATCAGTGGAAATCAGGTCAAGAAGCCTTCTTCCCCACGAAATGCGATGCCCACACGCCGCCACCAGTGGCAACCACCAGCCCGGAGCCCTCGTTTCCCAACGGCAACCTCGGGTCAATCAGAGCATGAAAGGTTATCGGGAGGATATGGTGCTACACACCGTCACATGTACCTCAAAGTGGATTCCATATGGCATGTATGGTACTAGATTCACCACTAGATCATTTCACAGTTTGCTATCACTTCTCATATTCCCCGCACATATGCACTCGTGCTAACGCATGTACATGAACTACGTACGTGCGCGTGCGCGTGCGCGTGCGC